ATTACATACAAAAAAGACGTTCAAAAAACTGCTAAATACAGATCATATATTCTCAGCTCCGGGGGCAGCCTCTTCCGCGGGCATTGAGATGACCTCCGTGCCAACCTCTGCTTCATCACCCTCAGCCTCTTTTAGGAGCTCAGAATCCTCCAATTCTGGCCTCTCGACGCCCTCGGGGAGGGGGACCCTGATATCAGGCTGGAGGGGGGGGGGAGCCTCTCGACAACCTCTGCTTCATCACCAAGTCTTCAACCGTATGGCCTCTCGACAACCTCTGCTTCATCACCCGCCGGATCAAAGGCCAATGGCTCAATTTTCAAATTCCGGGCAAGCCTCCTGTAGATCAAGGCCTGGGTGAAGAACTCCCCCCGGCATAGTAATCTTTACCCTTTCGGGCTAGCCACATTACCCCGGGGCCCTTCACCCACCCGTCGGCAGATCTCTCCACGACCGAGGCCACCCAGTCTTTATGGCCTTCGGCCTTCCAGCCCTCGGTCATGAAGGCAGCGACTGCACCGGCGGCGGCCTCTGCTTTTGCGGCCTCGGCAAATTCGGCGGCCTTCTTTGCAGCCTCGGCAGCAGCCTTCTCCACCTCCGCCTTCTCCATGGCCGCCTTCTCAGCTTCCGCCCTCGCCTGCTGGAGGTCCCTCTCCAGCTGAGCCATCTGCCTCATGGCCTCGGCATTGTCGTGAATCAGCTTCTTGAAGGACTCCTCCTTTTGCGCCTTCTGAAGGCGCCACTCATCGAACCTCCTGGCGTGTTCGCCGAGGGCTATGCAGGCCTGTTAAAACAAACAACAAAGTAAGGGGTTAAGCCACTATGCAAAGAAAAGAGAGACAAGAAGGAAAGAAGGAGAAGAACTTACGGTAAGGGAGGACCGGAGGATTTTGGATTCGAGGGCTTCATCGTCGAGCTTCCCGAGGGCCCTCCTATCCAGAGCGGGGGTAGCCCCGCCCAAAAATTCCCGGGGGTCTACTGTGCCATGAGTGATGGCTGCCCCCTTCGGCAGGGAGAACTGTATGTCCTCCCGGGGCAGGATTGCCTCACCCGAGGGCGGGCGAGGAGCGGTTGCTGTCATTTGAGCACTGGGCTCAGACGCGGAGTGCTCGTCCACCACCACCACCAGGGGGGCCTTCTTCCCGGCATCCCCCTTCTTCTGCTTCTTCCCCTCGGGGATTGGCGCCTTGCCGGCGGCTTTCCGCTTTGCGGCCTCCCCTGAGGGCTCACTGCCCTTCTTCAACTCCCCGAGGGGCTTCTGCTTAGGGGGCTCCTTCTGGCCCGGGGCCTTGACCTTTTGTTTCTTCAGATTGGCGAAGGCATTGAGGTCCATGTTGATACCTGAAAAAATAATAACGGTTAAAGCCGAAGGAGAAAAGATACAACAAAAAGCATATCTACACCTAAATATACATAAGTCTAAAGGATTGGATGCTCTCAGCCACTACCTCCGGAGGCTCTCTCAAAAGTCGGGAACCTTTCACCCGTTTCCCCCAGGAAGCTATACCGCCGGAACCCGAGGGTGTAGAGGTCCTCCTCTTGGGTGCACTCCTTGATGGTTATATTTTTGTCTCGGCCCTCCGGGATCTTGGCCAGGATCCTGCCGTCTTTCTCGAGGGCGGCGCTCCTCCTCTTCTCATGCCTCCTAAACCGGTCACGCAATTCCCTCGGGAAGGGGCTCTCGGCCAGCTTCACGTAGCACCACCGGTCTTTCCACCCTTTGTTCGAGGAGGGCGCCTCAGTGAAAAGCTTGAACAGGGCCACTTGCTGCAAGTTTGCGAAGCCCTCGGCATTCGCATGCCCCCCCCCCCCCCCCCCCGGCACAGGTTGAAGCTCTGGAAGAAGAGATCCAGACTAGGTGTTATCCCCAGGGATTTGCAGAGCTGGAGGAAGCCCGTGATGTAGGAATGGCTGTTCGGGGTCAGTTGGCAGGGGACCAAACCCACATACCGGAGGTACTCCCGGAGGAAGGGGTGTAGGGGGAACCGGAGCCCCATGGACACGGAAAGAATGTGCACCGCAATGCAGCCCTCGGGAGCCCGGGAGAGGACGTCATCGGGACCCGGTGCCACCACGATGGCCGAGGGGCCCACATGTAGTTGAGTGACATACAAATATGCCGCGTCAGCTTTCGACCTTATCTCTAAGGCGTCAGTATTCAGGTAGGAATACCCCTCGGGCATATCGAGGGGCTTCCCTTGGTCTGCAACGCTGCCCTTCTTCTTGGGGGCAGCAACCTTCGCCTTCTTCTTTCCGGGGGCCACCCGGATGGGAACCGCGTTCAGCGGTCGAGAGGTGCTGGCCTCGCCAGTGCCCCGAGGGGGGAGAACAGCAACAGTGACCCTCGCGCCCTCTTTATGCGCCTCTTCTTCAGCTGCTTGCCAGGCGAGGGCCAGCTCTTCATCTTCACACTCTTGTTCAAAGCCCTCGGCTTCCGCCTCAGCAACGAGGGCTCTCTGCAGCTCCATGGCGAAGACAGCATCTTGTCCCACCGAGGGCTGTTCGCTTGTGGACTCCACGTCCGAGATGACTTCATCCTCCATCGAGGGCGCCCCCGAGATGTCCTGGGAATCACTTTGGGAAGACATCTATGCACTAGTTCGAGGGCTCGGAAACACTAGAGTTCTCTAAGGCACAACTCCTAGAACTAAGGCCGCTACAGCTAGCTAAGGAGGGAGAATACAGATGGGGAACTGACCTTAAGGCAGGGATTGATCGAAGGCGGCTGTTTCTCTCTCTAGAAATTTTGGCAGGGCTTCGCTACAATGATTTCGCACAAGGGGAAGTGAAGCCGGCCATGGGGTATTTATAGGCGCTAGGATTCGGGCTTGGGCCTGCAAACGGGGCCTCCGGTTGGACTGCCATCATTACCAACCGTGGTTTCACCCAATCGGTGACGCCCGCCCACGGGCAGGCAACGAGCACGCACCACGTGGCAACCCCCCCAACGGCTATATCCTAGCGTTACATATTCTAACGGCTATATTTCCAACGGCTATATTCTGGGGAGCCCCCGGGCTTTTTACTTCACTCCACTTCATCAAGAAGAGCCCCCGGGTACACTTACCCGGAGACACTCCTGGTTTGTGCCCCACACACTACGTAACAGATGCCTTCGGGATCACTCCTTCATAAGCCCAAGGCTTCATATCAGGCCACCCCTCGGGGATCCCCCCTCAGCACTTTGAGGGCCGGGTAGCCCTCGAGGAGTATGCCTCATTGACGGATAGCCTACGGCACACAGGTAATGGGGGCCCTCGGATATCCTCATCACCAACTAATCAACAAACAGGGGACACCTCGGTAACAATTCAACTACTACCCTCATTCATTACGCCCTCGATCCCCAGATTGAGGGACTCCCCTTCGGCACCTCCCAGTGTATCAAAAGCAAGCCTCCGGCTAATCAACACATGAGCCCTCGGAACAGGGAAAGCCTTCGGCATCATCATTATTCTCCATTTCGAACCAAGGTTTCACATTCTCGATTCATCGTTGGGGGAATTTGGTGCATTCTTTTTCCCTCATTAGGATTTTTTCCCACAGGGTTTTTCCTAATGAGGTTTTTAACGAGGCATCCCCCCAAAATAAAACGAAAAGCATCAGCCTTCGGCCCAAAACAGTAACACAACTACTATACTCCTTTTCACCACTTTGCAAGTGCCTCAAGGAGTGGGGGACTGGAGGACCCCCTCGGGAAAATCACAAAAATCACAAACAGGACCCCTCAAGTCCCGACATGTGGGTAACTGAGGGACTGCCCTCAGCAGAATAAACAAACAGCAAACTACCCACAACCCTACAAACTACAAACGGAACAACGGCAGAGGACAAACACAATTACTCCTTTTCCCTCAAGTACCTTTCGGCAAAAGGAGTGGGGGACTCCTGATGGAGTATATGGCCCGGGAACCCCCGGCCCACAGACTCCTACTACTCCAATAAAGGCCCAACAGGCCCAGAAAGCACAACAGGCCCAAATCACAGCGCCCAGAGTACCAAGCAGCCCACAATGCGCACCAGGGGTGCCTTCGGCCCCCTGGCCGAAGGCTCTAACTCTCACAAGAGGGCCAAGACAGGAAAACAAAGTCACTGGGAAAAACGGCGAAAGTCAGTAGCCCTCGGCAGTGGGAGCCCTCGGCACTAAGGGGGTCCCCGGTACTCAGAGCCCTCGGCTAGTCATCTACTGCCGAGGGCGCCTCCTCCGACACAATATCCGCTCCACATGCGTACAGATCACCGTACCCTGTACAACGTCCCATCCAACAGCCGCATTAAATGCGGCCACATTCGGTTGCCAGCGCCAACCAGTTGAGGTGACCCCTCGGCCAATGGACGCTTGACACGTGTCCCTGTCCGGCATTTATTGCTACTATAAATAGCACCCCATTTCCCCATTTGTAACCAAGTCACAATACCCCCCGGGTACACTATCCATCACATAACTTACAAAATGAGTTTTCAAAAATTCAAAAGCTCATTTGTGCATATTCATTTCTTTTAAGCGTTATATCCGTTTGAGTTTAACATAAAACTCATTTCTATAATATGCACATATAATAGATTTTTTATTAAGAATTGACTAAACTATTATTATACTCCGGTATATAAAAATTTGAAATATAATAAATTTTATTTTCAAAATAATTTATAACTTATCGTTCTTCAATTAGAAAATTAATCACATTCTTTTTAGTATACTCATGCACATTACTCATGTACATTTATTTTAAACATTATTTTAAATCGTTTGACGACTTGTAAGTCGCCAAATCGTTTGGTGACTTGTTAAGCCCAATAGTATATTGGTAAATACTTTTAACCCAACATCATTTCCGTAAATATTTAATTACTTCGCATTAATTCAGAAAAAAAGTCAAAGAAACATAGATAACTTATTTTATAATTCACAATTTAAAGAAATATTTAAATTATAACCAAAGTTGATCACAAAAAAGAAAAAAAGGAAGTAAGGTAAGACTAACATTACGTAATTGAAAACAAGGGTCTAGAGCTGAATTAATGAAAAGGTCTGGTAAGAGAACAAAAAGAGAACAAAAAGGTAATATGTGGCGTGATGGGTGAGTACAGACATATAGCTAAAGAAACCAAAAAAGAAAAGCCTAAGGACAAGAGCATGATACATCAATTAAAGGCTTGAACTTGCAATTTATTACAAAAATACCGGATGTATATTTACACCCGGATGTATGGTATAATTTGCGATCACAAGTGGCCATCAGACATAGAACCAACGACTTTAACTAGCTCATGAGCCCCTTTGTTCGCACATAGCCAAATATAATGAAAAGAAATGTCCGTAAACCACGAACTGATATCTCAAATATCCACGCAATCAAACCTGCTGCCGAAACATTAGAGCCCTTCAGAATTTCAGAAATAGCCCGAGAGGCATCGAACCCGACATCCACAAAATCCCAGCCTTGCTGTTTAATCCAAGTAAGAGCTTCTCGTATGCCGATCAACTCGGCTTCCCATGGAGATAAGCTGCCACTCCAGCCCTTCGAAACCCCGGCCAGAAAGTTTCCCCCCTCGTCCCGCAAAATCCAGCCCAGCCCGCAACAATTCTCCTCATTATTTTTAGCTTTAAACTCCGCTTCCACCTGCTCCAAGAAACTGCCAACCACAGCTCTTGACCACCTCCAGCCCACTGCACTCCACGCTTTCCTTGCCTCCGGACAGCGAATGAAGAGATGCATCGGAGATTCCTCAGCAGCACCACAAACACCGCAACTAACCGCACATTCCACCCTTCTACCCTGCAAATTTTATGTTGTTGGCAATAGACCACAACCAGGGGCGGATCCATGTTGATAAGAGGGTTTATCGGTGGAGCCATCGTTGCTAGGGTTTGCGGAAGATGCAAACGAACAGAAAAGGAATCGATTATAGAAATCGATTGAATCGATTAGAAAGAATCGATTAGAATGAAGAAAACGAATCAGTAAGGATCTAAACCTTAATCTGATACCATGTGAAAACTAATATGAATTGCAAGAAGAAAGTATGGTGTGAAGAAAGAGTTGCAGAGAGAATCCGAAGAAGTTTATTGATAGCAGAGAAGATGTAAATGTAAAGGAGTATTTATACAAAAGGGCTAACAGGCCTGAAAGTAAAAAAACAGTCCATTAGGCCCAAAATTTAAAATAATCCAGATCTTTATTCTTAAGAGAGGGGGACAGCTGCCCCCAATAAAACTCAATTAATAGTTTAATACCCCTTATTTCATTAGGAAGAAAAATCAGTGTATACATTTGCCCCCAACTAAAAACTAAAGATGCCTCCAATCCCCCATAAATTTTGGCCGGCTCTACCCAATGCGTAAAACATTTTAGGCTTATATGGAAGGGACTAAATATCAAATTAAATGATTTAAATTTCTAAAAAAAATAAAAATAATTGCACCCTGCCATGAAGTAAGAACAGACCGAAGGCGAATGAATAGCCAGATTCAAAACGGAAACCGGACAAGCTAAGTGTAAGGATTGTGGCATGTGCATGGAGTATAACTTATCTTTATTTATAAAAATGTTAGTGAGTAGTAAATAGTAAGCCAACAGATTAAAATTAACTATATAAGGTAAATAAATCTTTTATCCAATTGTAAATTAAACTACACAATAACTCAATTAACAAATTTACGTAAGAATAGTGAGATAGTTATCACACAAAAAAAATTATTTTTTCATTATTTATCAGTCTTAATGAATAGATTGTTGAATCAAGCATTTTATCTGGCCGTTCAAGTATAAATATGCCTTACAAACTTGTAGTACTTCAATGTCTTCATAAGTTAATTTTGATGACTAATTTGAGTAATAGAATCGATGACTAATGTGTTTTTTAGTTACAGTTTGGTTTCTTTATAGAAGGAGATTTATTTCATAGTTACAATGCACAATTGAAACTGTAATAGACCACAATAAAAGGATGAAAACTCGAGGAGAGAAATTGTGATCAACTTTATTATGGATTTTTTGTATTGTTATATGCTTTAATTTTATTTAGTTTGAACCAATTCTCATGTATCCTAGAATAAACTTTCATAATACTATAATAGTTAGAAACACAACAAAAAAAGTAAAAAAATAAAAACACTTTTGCTATTCATTCTAATATACTAAATTAATGTTTTTTCGAGACGGTGGAGACGCTTTTTTCCAAAAATGTACTTCATTTATTATTCTGGCCCCAATAACTTTTATTCCTGGATCCGCCACGGACCACAACATACCTGCCAGAAAAAGTTTTTTATTTTTGGAGGCAAACTGTCAATTCCACATCAATAGTTGCTTCCCCATGTGTGACCTTAACAAACAAAAGGCTATCATCTGCAAAAAAAATAAGTGAGATATGCGAGGTGCCCCTTCAAGAGTAAATTTTTTCGGAACGTGAAATGACAATCAGGCCAAAAGCACTTAGGCGGGAGAAAATTCTCTCTCTCCGTAGTGCTTTTAAGTATAGGATTTTGGAACCTGCCAATTAGGGGCGTATCTAAGTAGGCCATTGCCCCTTGTGAAGACCTTGGCCATATTAATGGATATCCCTTTTATTATTGGATGATGAATATTATCATAAGTAGTGTTCTCAGACTATATCAATAGTCACAGTCAAAATATCGGATTCAAACTTCAAGATCAACCAAACAGAAATTAAAGAAATGAACACATGATATGTTGACGCAGTTAAGATAAATCCTACTGTGCAGGGTTTCAACAAGGAAAACACGATCCAAAGAATCCACTAGCTCAGAACAGTTTGAATACACAGATGGTTGCAAAGCAAGGTACGAAAATAACAGATCCAACACACAAGAATCAGCCAAAAAACAAGCACACGAACAAAATAAGAAAAGGAACACAAATAACCGGACGAAGCTACCAAAACCCAGGAATTCTCAGATTCTTGGACTCGGACCAACTTCTCTGGATTTGAGCTTTACGACACGATCTACTTCTTGCCTTTCTCATCTTATTCTGGCTTCAAGTGATTTCGGATTTTGAAAGGAAAACCAGAGGTTTCTCTCTCATTCAACGCACAAGCTCTCAGAATCGCCTCTATGTATTTAGGGTTTCAAAAATGACGCAGAAGATGTCTCCAAAAGAGTGGAAGGAGACGTTTTATATGTGAATCAAACGAGTTGGGTCAAATAAGGAGAACCGGACTGGACTAAGAAATTATCAGGCCCAAACCGCAGCACAAGAAACTGAAATGGGTGAGACCAAATTTAATGGTCTAATTGAATAAATCAATTAGAGTCCATTAAATATAATTACTTTCTAACCTTGCTTTACCTTCCTATCTAGGTATTAAAACATCATAGAGAATAAAACTAGAATTAGGATTACAAATATAACAATTTTCCCTCCTAAGACTAATTGTGATGCAGCACAACTCCTAAGAACATTTTTCATCATTGCCGCATTTGGATTCTTTGGACCAAATTACACCCTTTCATCATCAACCCAAATAAGTACCCTTAAGATCAAGGTACTTCAAAGATTTTGATGAACTGCCTGCAAAACAAAAATTTAGCAGTAGGAACAATTTTAGTACCAAAATCAGTAGGATTAACATCTCCAGTAATCTTATCAATTTTAATATTACCTTTAGAAATCTCATCCCTAATGTAATGAAATCTAACATCTATATGCTTAGTTTTTTCATGATACATAGGGTCTTTGCTCAAGTATATAGCACTTTGGGTATCAGAAAAGACAGTAGGAGCAATACTTATCCCCAACACTTCACCCACTATACCTTTTAACCATTTTGCCTCTTTGATAGCCTCAGTGGATGCAATATATTCAGCCTCTGTGGTAGACAAAGCTACTACAGATTGCAATTGAGATTTCCAATATATACAGTTACCAGCCCATGTAAAGAACCAAGAAGCAGTAGACTTCCTTGAATATTTACATCCAGCATAATCAGAATCAACAAAACCTTTCAGATCACATGAATCAACATTAGAATATTTCAGACCTAGGTTCTTAGTACCAGACAAATATCTTAGAGTATATTTCATAGGAGTCCAATGTTTGGTCCTAGGATCAGACATAAACCTGCTAAGTATACTGACAGCAAAAGCAAGATCAGGCCTAGTACAAAGCATGGCATACATGAGAGAGCCAGAAGCAACATCATAGGGGATATTAGCCATTTTCTCAGATTCTTCTAAAGTCATAGGATAGGGATCTCTAGAGAGTTCTAAATGCCCTTCTAAGGGTAAGGGGGTAGATTTAGCGTCCTTCATATTAAACCTATCCAAGATTTTAGTCAAGTAATCACCCTGTGACAAAAACATGCTTCTATTGGATCTATCCCTAGTAATGTCTATACCCAAAATTCTCTTAGCAGAGCCAATAAATATCCTTCATGTCAAAATTCACTTTCAGATCATCCTTGACACTAATAATCAGCATTTTACATGGACCAATCAAGAGAATATCATCAACATACAGTAGGATGTAAATAGCATTTTAAGTTCCAACATGTTTATAATACAGATAAGTATCATATTTACTCCTTAAAAAACCAAGTTCACTCATGCAGGAATCAAACTTCAAATTCCATTGTCTTGGTTTAACATTTAAGTCCATAGATTGATTTTTTAAGAAGACAAACATGTTCAGGAAGCTCTTTATTGATAAAGCCAGGAGGTTGAGACATAAAAATAGTTTCTTTTAAGTCTCCATGCAAAAAAGCAGTCTTAACATCCATTTGCTCCAACTCCCAGTCAAAAACAGTGGTTACAGCCAACATTAATCTCAAAGTTTTGAATTTTATAACAGGTGCAAAGATATCTTGGTAGTCAATTCCTTCCTGTTGTCTAAAACCCTTGGCTACAATCCTGGCTTTAAACTTAGGAGGTTCAGTAGGATCAAGACTATCTTTTAACCTAAAAACCCACCTACAGTCAATTATTTTTGCATTTTTAGGTTTAGGAACTAAAATCCAAGTCCTATTAAAGTACATGGACTGAAGTTCTTCCTGCATGGCTTTCATCCACTCATTAGACTTAGGACACTTCATAGCATGTTCAAAACTATCAGGAGCTAACTGTTTAACTACCTCAGAAGCAACCAACAAACATTCAGCAAGATTAGAGAAATATCTTTTGTTAGGAATAATAGTTCTAGGTTCTCTATCTCTAACCAGTTGATAATCAGCTAAATTTGGTGTATCATGATTATCAGTGTCATTATTGTTATCAGGCACATCATTTGTAACAGTAGTGTCAGTTAGATCATGCACAAAAGGAGTCTGAGAACCAGAAAAACTACCTTGTGAGTCTGAACTCACTACTACCTATTCACCTCCATTGAGGTTATCATTTTGCTCTGTCTCAGACTATGTATATTCATATGCAGCATTGTGGAAGATTCCATTATGGTTCTCTTCATTCACATTGTCATCATTATCCAAAGATTCAAAGAAATTCCCATCAGAAGCATATGCAGACTTACTCAAGACAACATCAGTTCTTTAAAAGGGAAAATTACATTCATTGAAAGTAACATCTCTGGATACAATACATTTATAAGCCCCTGGTTGTACAACCAGTAGCTTATAGCCTTTAACTCCCTCAGGATAGCTTAACATTACACATTTTAAGGCTTTAGGTTGTAATTTACCTTGAGAAACATGGGCATAGGCTGCAAACCCAAAAGGCCTTAAATGTAAGATGTTTGGCTTAACCCCAGACCACATTTCGTGTGGAGTCTTAAAATTGATCACAGAAGATAGGAATCTGTTAATCAGGTATGAAGCAGTAGCCACTGCTTCACCCCACAAGGAATTGCCAAGGCCAAAACTGATGAGCATACACCTTTCCTTTTCAAGCAAGGTTCTGTTCATCCTTTCAGCAGTACCATTCTGGTGAGGAGTTACAGGGACAATAAGCAACCTTTTAAACCCTTCATTTTTACAAAAAAACATTGAATTCATTATTGCAGAACTCAAGGCCATTATCAGTTTTCAAAGCGTTTAGTTTAAAGTTGGATTGAGACTCAACCAATGTTTTCTAGTTTTTAAAACTCTCAAAGGTTTCATCC